ATAACTAATCCCAGCATAACTTGTCTTCAAACCAAACAACCCCTAAGTTGTTAGAGAGGAACACTCCTATTCATTATTTTACATCTTCAATGAGGTGGACCAAGTACAATACATGTCAATGATTCAAAGTTTGTGTATGTTTCCTGAGAGATATAATTAGTTCAATAATGACTAGGATCAAGTATAGATCAGTCATCAGTCTAAATCTGTAAATTGAAACAGCACAAGCCTTTATAGGTAGATATAAACAATAACAGTCAGAACACAAAAAGGGAGAGAAAAAAAGAGGGGGGGAGGAAGAAAGTCAGCATTAGCACATTTTTAACTTACTTCTCAATTCCAAGATCTTCCCTGCACTTCTTAAGCTTGTTATGCCTGTAACATTTATGTTAACACATTGTTACTAATTTCCTTTATATTCACTTAATTGATTGAATATTTCCAGCTTCCTTACCCAGTTGAAAGAAATCTTGCTGCCTTGACATGAGAAGGGTTCTCCAGCCATTTACTGTATTTGATGAAACTCTGGGTCCAGTAAGAACACACATCTAATACTAGTGAGATAGCTTCCAAATTTGGAGCACCTTCTTGTTTACTTTTGTGCCCAATAGTGCGGATGGAATTAGAAGTAATGCCTGGATAAAAAGGAAGCCAGTCTAGCTCTTCACACACAACCTATCATGTAAGGATATTTCAGCTTTATATGCCACATAAGTGTCCTAATGACAATTTCTTCATAAGAATGCTAACCTCCACGTACAGTTGATAAGAGCTTATTGATGAAAGTTGAGGATAATATAGTACGCTGCCCCCAATTAGATACCTATTTAGAATTTAAAAGGAAAAGTTGGATATAATGGAGCGTATATCAGTATAGTCTAAGATCAATGAACGAAGAGGACAAAAATAAATTACCTAATTAATTCTTCAACGGGCTCGTCAAGAGTACCAAATCCATTTTCAGAAAGAAAAGCCTGTGTGCTTCTTCCCAAAGCAATAAAGAAACCAAATATAGCCAGATCTTTTTCCAGAACCTATGATGTATCAGCAATAAATATAAAAACCCGACTCCAATGTTCAAATGACATATTCAAGTGGGAAATGTGTAAGGGAAAGACCTCACATAAAGGTGTAGCAAAATTATTACATCTCATACAGCTTTACTGCATTATTATGCCACGGTAATTTATCCTTGAACTGAGACTTGTATTAGCCTCAATACCTTCTACAATATATTGATTAATCCTCCACTTGGCCACCTCCCCGAGATAAGGTTAACATACAATGTTTCTGCATCTGTAAGCTTTTCTCAGGACATTTCAGAAAGCACCAAGTGAAATGACAGTGCATGTGGTGTTTAAGGACGACACACTAACATATTGAATTACATTGACATACTGAAAATGTGCCAAACCCATTTTTTTAGCATCAATTTACATCCTTCTTTAACAGTACTAACTACAAAAGAAAACTTATAGTGAGTAACATTAGACTTCTAAATCAATTGAATGTATACAACAACAACAACGACAACGCCTTAGTCCCAAACAAGTTGGGGTCGGCAATATGAATCCTCATTCCTTTCATTTAGCTCAACTCATATCTTCATCATTATCGAAATAAAATAAAAGTGCAAGCAAAAAAGATATATATATATATATATATATATA